AAGTTACACCACTACTAACCATTGGTATATCATACCCGATTTTGAAAATATCAAAAAAAAAAAAAATTAAATACAGGGTGACCCAAAAAACGGGAACTTTTTAACAATCCATTAAAACCAAGAGTGACGAAAACAAATATTTTATTCATAGTAACTGAAACCTTAAAACATGCCATTTAAGAAACAATGATGGAATTTTCATTTTTTTTAAATTACGTCCTGTAGATAGCGTCCTCCTCTACGAATGCATTCTTGAAATCTGCTGTTGAGATTCCTCATTGACTGCTGCAACATCTCAGCTGTGAATTTCATCTTGAATTCTAAATGACGAAATGCTCAAGGTCACTGTCTCGCAGTGTTGCCACTTGCTCATGTCTGGTAATACGCACTTCAAAAATTCCCGTTTTTTTTTTTTGGTCACCCTGTATAAATCTTTATTTGAAATATTTTACATGCAGGCACTTCAAACTTTGTACTTTGAGTTAATATCAATAGGAACTGAAAAAACATTATTTAGTTAAGAAAACCAAGTACTGAAAATTGTAATTAAAAATAGGAAAATGTGCGCTGGGTACTATATACCCACGGTTAATGTTCTAGGGTTAAAATAATTTCTTGATGGACAAATGAGACATATAATTTTACTAAGATCTACCCTTCGATTTATACAGATTTTATTTTACTTTCTTTTGTTCAGGTTTAACACGGTTGATATATTGAAAAACGACGCCATTTTTAATTTAATGCAATATCACTCCTCTTATATGGCAGTGAATGTTGTGAAGGTAACGTAAAGGTTGTTCTACAGAACGATGTTGAGAATATTTGATGGGGGATATAATGAGGAAAATGGGCTTGGTTGATTTGAAGAATCGAAGGCAAGAGGAACAGGCAGAAACAGTGAGTAAGATGTCTAAAATGCTTGTGAGAAGAAGAAGAAGAAGAAGAAGGGGGAAGAAGAAGAAGAAGGGGGAAGAAGAGGAAAAAGAAGAAGAAGAAGAAGAAGGGGAAGAAGAAGAAGAAGGGGAAGAAGAAGAAGGAAGAAGAAGAAGAAGAAGAAGAAGGGGAAGAAGAAGAAGAAGAAGAAGAAGAAGGGGGATGAAGGGGAAGTAGAAGAAGAAGAAGGGGGAAGAAGAAGAAGAAGGGGAAAGAAGAAGAAGAAGAAGAAGAAGAAGAAGGGGGAAGAGAAAAATTAAAGCAATAGGGAATGTTGTTCTACAGAAGGATGCTAAGAATATCATGGACGGGGCGTTTTTTTGTTTGTTTTTTTTTTTTAAGCGTTTCACCCCAAGCAAGGCGAGAAGCCACTAAGACGCAAGGGGTTACAGAAAATTTGGAGCAAGATCAGATAGGAGTGATAGAAGAAAGGATGAGGGTAGTGGATAGATCAAGGTAACTGGAGATGTCGGTTGACATTTCATTTGAATAGTTGGAGATTATAGCTCTCAGGGAAACTGGAATAGGGAAGGGAGTTCCACAGGCGAGAGGTGCGAGACATGAAGCTATTGGAGTAGAAGAGATGGCTACATTTAGGTGTTTCGACAGTGAAGGGGTGAGAGCGGGATGCCAGCCTCGTAAGGCGCTTGAACTCATGAAATCTGGGAACCAGCGAATTCAGCTCCTCGGAGCAATTTCCATGAAAGTATTCGTAGAACAGACAGAGAGAGGCGACGGCGCGTCTGTGAGAAAGAGACTGTAGACGAGATGCCAGAGCAGGGCCAATTATATTGCATATCCGCCTCTGGAGCCTATCAAGAACCCCGAGGCAAACAGAAGGGGCACCAGACCATATATGACAGCAATACTCCATGCAAGGGCGAATTGTTGATTTGTAGATCTGAAGGATCGATTCCGGGGAGAAAAATTTCCTGGCGCGGCACAGGGAGCCAACTTTCCTTGCGGTGGACGAAGCAATTGACTCAATGAATTTGTTGCGTGTATGGAATGAAGAGGTTTTAGAGAAAATGGAATTAAAAAAGGACGATTTTACTTAAAATCAGAAAGAAACTGGAGTTTCTGGGCTGCATCACGAGGAAAGAGAGCTTGGGGAATTTGACACTCACAGGACATACAGAAGGCATGTGGGACACAGGGAAACACCGAGTAATATGCCTAAAAGGCGTATCTAAATAGTCGGCAGAGCAGAGACTGTGAGGAATAGTAAACAGTACAAACATTACTAAGACTTACATAGAATTCAGAAGTTGTGGAGAGATATGATCGCTCACACAAAAGGAGATCTGTGTCGTGTGAGAGAAAGTTCAAAATCCTCGCATTTTGTTGCATATCAATCTCAATGTGTTATTTAATGTCGACAAGTTTTTTAGGATAGGTTCGTATGAATAGAATATGTATTTTTTCGTTTCGTTTGATTTGGTTTGTTTTTCTTTACTGCATATCAACACCTAAATGGGTTATTTATTGCCGACAAGATTTTTAGTATACGTTCGTACGAATAGAATATGTATTCTGTGTAATAAATCAGTTTGTAGATCAGGGTTCATAGACGTATATTTGTAAAGAGGATTTTCATTCAAAGTTATGTGTATTGCTGGTAATATTTTTTTTTTATTATAAAAATGTATTTGTATACTTTCATAGTGTTCTGATCCATTTTAAGGGGTTCACTATTTGCCCCTTGCTGGGACCCTAACAGGTGCTACCACCCTGGGTCAGGATAGACCTGAGAACAAAAGCAATTAAGAGGTGGTTATATGCTCTTCAAAATCTCTTGATCAGTGCCCTTGCTGCCGGATGTAGTTTATCGTCATATCCAGGACATATTTAGTCTGGTCTAAGGCTAGATGCGAGGCTGCTCACTTGGGTATTGGATAAGCAGAGGGTTGGTATAAAGGGGATTGGTATGCGTATTTACACTCAGTGGAAACGGGTGATTCAATAACTGAACAGTGCTAAATAAAATAAGAACGAGACGAGATATCCCTTCACATGAACAGTGGGACGAGAAAAGTCAAACACCGTAGATCAAATAAAGGCTTCAGTTCAGAATTCCACGTAGCTTACCCAGATCAATACACACCTGATGAAGGCCGGAGGATACAACAACCGAAACGTTGTAATTTTGTTTTCTTTTTCTTTTCTTTTTTAATATTTTCAAATATCCTGTCCAACTCCAGGTGTTAGTAATAATTAAAAAAAAATGAAAAATGTTTTATTCATCAACTAGCTGCATGGCCCGGCGTTGCCCGTGCTTGATTCAAAAATCGTACGACTCATACAGCAATCGCTATCACTTGGCTTAAAATATTTTTGCCCTTCTTTGCCTTTAAAGGAGTGCCCTTTGCCGTGCTGATGTTGCTACATGCCTTACTTCTTGCCTATCTCCCACTGCGAATTTTTTCTAAGCTCTATACTAAACATTAAATCTGTTACGAAAAAAGAACTAAACAAAACGAACACAAAACGATCAGCTTTAAAAAAAGGACTCGTAAATAGAAAAACCAAATGAAAAAAGAATGTTAACAACAAATACTTTTTCACACTCAACCCAGTTCTGCGAAATCAGAATCAACGTTGAGTTTAATCAAGCAAATGAGCCAATTGGAGTAAAGTGCCATGCAGATTTAAATTTTTCCAACTTGCGACGAATGCAGCTATCGATTTTTTTTTGCATGCTAGCATGCTAGTTAACATTCGTGTCAGTCAGCTGTTGGCGCTCACGCTGGCCAATAGAATCTTCCTGCCTATTCGTGGCAGCCAGCTATAGGCTCTCACTCTGGCCAGTACAAAATGGCCGCAAACTACATGAAAACTGCCGTAGAAGCATGAAAAAATCGATTATTTCTACTATCGATGGGAGTTGGGAAATGCAAAGTCGGTCTTGGCCTTCCCACAAACTTGGAGCATGTGCATGTAAATTTTGGTGCAAATCCGTTGAAAATTGCGGCCGTACATTCGTTACACACACACACACACATCCTGCCTTTTATTTTTTTTTCTTTATTTAAGAGGGAAGTCGTAATATAGCGGAACCTCGGGTTACGAACCCGTTTCACCACGAACAAATTGGTTCACCAACAAATTTTCCGAACGAAACACCACACGGGTAACGAACGGTGTCTCGCGCGACAAACCCACAAGCCAGCAATAACGTGGTACGACAAGCCGGAAGTATCGGCAGGAGAGCGTCAGTTGCGGTGTACCTTTTGCCCTATACACATCCCTGCTCGATGGAGTAATGGATAGCGGCTCGGATTGAGAAATCGGAGAGCCGAGTTCGAATTCTAGTCGAATCCATTACATGAATCCTCTTTTTATACACCTCGAGGCGGTGTAGTGGTTAGCAAGCTTGTCTCGCTAGAACAATTACGACTGAATAGTGACTTCGATCCTCACTGGGAACCCCTACTTTCGGCCTTGTGCCACATCTAAGCTACGCTTGGAAAATTGCTACACATCCTTGCTACAATTTGCCGTCCTCTTTCTTGAATGTCATTGTGTGTTTTTATATAAAATATTAAATGAGGTACTTTATTATTAAATAAACATTTTAAAACGTCGCCAAAGAAAAATTGCATACTTTTTTTAGTGAAAAGGGTGCCTAAGTTGAGTTTCAGATACAGGAAAGAGAAAGAGAAGAAACCCCGCAAAAACCTTCCCCTTCCTCACCTCCTTCCACTTACGCCATCAACTCTTCTGTTTTTTTTTTTTTGTTTTTTTTTTTATTATTATTATTTAAGAGAGAAATCGTAATGCAGTGTAACCTCGGGTTACGAACCCCTTTCACCACGGACAAATCGGTTCACGAACAAATTTTCCGAACGAATTATTCTTGAATTTCACTGTTTGTGTTTTTATATAAAATATTAAATAATGTACTTTATTATTAAATAAACATTTTAACACAAAAACAAAAACAAATCGCGTTGCATAATTCTTTTTAGTGAGAAAGCGGGGTGGGCCAGTGAGTCTCAGGCAAAGTCGATTGATGTTAAGAGACAGGAAAGACAAAGTGATGAAACCCCGAAAAAAGTTAGCAGATGTCTTTATGTAAGAAGATTCCCCCTTTCAAACAATAACATCGTTTCCTCTTCCTCATCACCTTCCACTTGCGCCATCAATTCTCCCCCATACAGGTATTGTAAAATTAAATTATGTTTTTGTCTATATTTTATCTATTTGTCCAAAGTATCTTAGAAAAGTTTAAATAAACAATCTTCCAGCAACGGATTAATCCATTTTACATTGATTCGTATGGAGAAAATACTTTCAGTTTATGAACATTTCGGGATACGAACAGCTTTTAGAAACGAATTGTATTTGTTAACCAAGGTTCTACTGTACATTATTTTTTTTATGTGTCCCGGAAAGGGATATATTTATTCGAAATAGCTAAGTTGTTGTTGACTATTGTAACCGGGTAGGACAATCTAACAGGTAACCCTGATGAATTGGTCCTCGTCGTAGTGGTAGACAATAGGCGAAGACAATAGGCATACCTTCACATCAGTCTGTATTTATGACTGACACCAGCCATTCATATTACTGTGATGGGGAACCCAGGTATATGCATATTCATTACATCATTTTTTTAAATTCATTTTTACGCGATTTTTTACTTACTAGTTTATTCTTTTTATTCTAGGGTGAGCTGAAATGTTCATAAGCTAACTATGAATGAGTTGTGCTCTGAAATCTTGCATGAATTTCAATTCTTCTTATTAATAACAGCATTCTTCATTTCCAGGTAAACTAGCATATGTCTGTTCAAAGAAGTCTCTTCATCCTGTTGTTCACAAAAGTCAATAACAGTAGATATGACGTCATTATCACTGCGATACTGTTTCCCAGCCAAGAATTTTCATGTTGGAGAACATATGATAGTCAAATCAAGAGAATAGGAAGAGTGATCAACCAGTTCAAAGCCTCAGTCACGCATCGAAACCAAGAACATGTACTGGAGCATTGTATTGATTAAACAAAACCCTTTCATTAGTTTTTGTAGGTGTGTGGCCGTAATAGACTTTTGTAACTGTCTCAGGGAGGTGTCATAGCCCGGGTGTACGCACTCGGGTTCCTCACATTAAACCCGGCCTTGGGGAGACGAGATAAATATTACTATCTTAAAAACCTCTCTATCGGCCGGCATATAAGCTAGCTCCCGTGAAGGGCTCTTAATTGGACCTTCATCACAATAGGTAGGGAAGATTAGATGCGATAACCAACAATAAACTGCAGAAGAACTCAAAACTGATCGCTTCAAACATAATTCTTCTGTCGACACTTAATTTAAAAACAATTTGATGTTCGTAGGTCCTTACTTTCCGTAAAAGCAATCATTTTTATTTCATGAGTGACTTTTGTTGGATTTTGCAATTAAATTCGATTATTTTCAAATTTATTTCTAAGTTATAAAAATTGTTATCGTACAAAAAAAATTCACGCAAAAAAGTCATGTAAAAAATCGCCGAAAACAATCGCAGTAATGAAAAGTTGGGAATCCAAAATTCCAGTATTCCGGATACGACCGGGAAAGTTTTTAATCTGCTCACAGATTCGGCCTGTTTGCAAAAGGTACGATATGTTGGGCTACGGCCTCTAGAAGTAAAATTGAAAACACAGACAATTTGTTTTGGAACACTGTAATTTGATTAAATTTTTTTTTTTCATTTGAACGTAAGCTATTGAAAATTAGAGAATTGTTTCCCTTTAATTGTTTTTTATCAGCAGAAGCCAAAATGGCAGAATCGGAAAACAATCACAGTAATGAAAACTTGGGCGTCCAAAATTTCAGGATTGTGGCTCCAGATCAGGCCAGGAATATTTTTAATTTACTCACGGAGTCGGCTTGATTCCCAAACGGTATATGCTGGCCTACAGCCTTTAGGAGCAAAGTTGAAAAAGTGTGACACAGTGACACAATGATATTCGCATTTATTATTTAATGTCATCATAAGAATTGCCATGAAAATATTTATAGAAAAAATCACAGGGGAGGTACGTTACTCAAAGTAACAGTACTGATAGCAGACACGGAAAAGAAATTACAAAATCTCCTACGTAAGGTAGCGACGGAGAGTGAGAAGAAAGGACTAAGCATAAACTACAAGAAGACAGAATGCATGGTCGTCAGTTTAAAGGATGAGCCCGAAATGAGATTTACAGATCGGGGACACTAGAATCAACCGGACGCGGAAGTTTAAATATCTAGGAAGCGTCTTGACAGAGAACGGTAAGTGCAACACTGAGATCCGTAGACGTATTGGGATGGCCAAGGACACATTCCAAATGCTGGGCAGAGTATTGCGAGACAGGAGGATTTCTTTGGTAAAATAGAAAAGAATACTGAGCTGTTACGTGACATCTGTTCTTCTTTACGGCAGCGAATTTTGGCCGATTTCCTCAAAGATGAAGAAAAGACTCAAGGCGATAGAGATGTGGTTCTACAGAAGGATGCTAAGGATATCATGGACTGAGCGTGTGAGTAACGGTGAGGTCTTGGAGAGGTTGCAAACAAGGCGGAGGCTTATACTTAGCATCAGGAAGAGACAGCTGAAGTTTCTGGGACACATAATGAGGAAAGAAGGCCTGGAGAATCTGATACTCACGGGTCGAATAGAGGGAAAGATTAGGGAAAACAACGCGTGACGTACCTAGCGGGCTTAAGCAAGTGAATGATAGAACGTTGTCTGGAGGAGGAAGCAGAAGGAAAGAACTTGTTGAGAGCTGCAAAACATAGAGGGAGGTAGAGAGACATGATCGCCTACGCCCTGAAATGACATGGCATATAAGAAAGAATAAAGAACAGAGCGTCTTGCCCGTTTTTTGGGGTTTTTTTTTATTTTTATTTATTTTGGGGGGGGGTTCTGTTTGAGTCGGCGTTCTTTAATGAAAGAACTCAGAAGCTGGGCTGCATTTCAGCCTCTGGTTCCGCACCGTGAAACTGTTTCTCTTAAGTTATAGTAGTCGCCGTTTCATATATGAAAAGGTTCCGTTTGATAAGACAACTTCAAACCAGTTATATTCTAATCTGATGCTTATTACAACAAGAAGAAAAATATCTTTGAAAATTTACAGAAAATACATTCAGAATTATTGTCACAGAGCAGATGTTAAATCAGTTTTACATGATATTCTCTTGTTCTATCCAAAGCTGATATTCACAAGGGAAATCTACAGATTTATCTCCATAAAGGATAGAGAGGCTATTTGTGGACGCCTAGGCAGATTGTAAAGCTTCTTTTATAAGCGTTATCTATCTATCTATCTATCTATCTATCTATCTATCTATCTATCTCACTTAGCTTATATCTATCTCTCTATTATTGCTTTATTTTATTTAATAATTTCTTTTTTCTTATAATTTTCCTTACATTTTCTTCCTTTCGTGTTATTTCTGCTACTCTATTTTATTCTTTCTTTCTTTCTTTCTTCAAACAATTTTTTCTCTTTTTTTGTTTCCTTCTCATTATTTTTCTAACATTTTCTTCCTCTCATGCTGTTTGTTTTTCATACTCGATTTCTTTCTTTCTTTCTTTCTTTCTTTCTTTCTTTCTTTCTTTCTTTCTTTCTTTCTTTCTTACAACCATTGCTTCTCTCTTTTCCTTTCCTTGTCATTAATTTCCTAACATTTTCTTCGTCTCCAGCAGTTTCTCCTTCTTTCTTTCTTTCTTTCTTTCTTTCTTTCTTTCTTTCTTTCTTTCTTTCTACTAACCCTACCTTCTCTATTTTCCTTTCTTTCGCCTTATTTTCCTACCCTATTTCATTCATTCATTCATTCATTCATTCATTTTTTCTTACTTACAACCGTTCCCTGTGCCTATTCTTTTCCTTCTCATTATTTTCTTTCATTTATCCTTCTCTATTGCTTTATTTATTCTTTGTTTCTTTCTTTCTATCAACATTTCTTTCTTTCTTTCTCTTTATTTTCGTAACGTTTTTCCTCTCATGTTGTTTCTCTTCCACTATTTCATAGATTCATTTATTCATACATTCTTTCTTTCTTTTTTCTTTCTTTCTTTCTTTTTTCTTTCTTTCTTTCTTTCTTTCTTTCTTTCTTTCTGCTAACCTTTCTTTCTCTCTTTTCCTTTTTCTCATTTTCATTACATTATATTTTTCTCATACTGTTTATCCTCTCCTATTTCATTCATTCTCTTTCTTTCTTTCTTTCTTTCTTTCTTTCTTTCTTTCTTACTTTCTTTCTTTCTTTCTTTCTTTCTTTCTGCCAACCTTTCCGTCTCTCGTGTCTATTATTTTCCTTATATTTTCTTTGTCTCTCGCTTCTTTCTTTCTTTCTTTCTTTCTTTCTTTCTTTCTTTCTTTCTTTCTTTCTTTTCCTTTCCATATCATTATTTTCCTAACATTTTCTTTGTCTCTAGCTCTTTCCCTTCTTTCTTTCTTTCTTTCTTTCTTTCTTTTTCCTTTCCATATCATTATTTTCCTAACATTTTCTTTGTCTCTAGCTCTTTCCCTTCTTTCTTTCTTTCTTTCTTTCTTTCTTTTCCTTTCCATATCATTATTTTCCTAACATTTTCTTTGTCTCTAGCTCTTTCCCTTCTTTCTTTCTTTCTTTCTTTCTTTCTTTCTTTCTTTCTTTCTTTCTTTCAGCCTTGCTTTCTTTTCCCTTTCTTTCTCTTAACTTCCCTGTCTCTCTCTCATTACACATTCCATCCATTCGTCCCTACTTCCCTAGCAACACTATGCATTATTTCAGCCCCTCTAAAAATATATCTACAAGTCTTTTTATCTACTATCATTGACCTCTGGAACCAGATTGCAATAATCCATTGATAATCAAAATTCCTTTCTCGCTGGCCGATTTTCTTCTTTTCTATATGAATTCCTTGCATTTTCCTATTCCAGTATTTTTTTTTTTTGTTTTGCTTTTTGCATTTATTTTATCAAACGCCTGCACGACTTGTTCAGTTACTTACTTTTACCTTTCAACATTTCTAAAATTCACCCGGCGCATCGAACCATATATATGTATATGTATATATATATATATATGTGTGTGTGTTTGTGTGTGTGGTTCGATTCGCTGTGTGAATTATATCGAGTTCCCCGGTCACTGACGTATTTGTCTAAAAATAAATACGTCTAAATTCACATTCATCCCTTCGCCATGCGTCAATTGCTTAAGGATAAAATCCCCGACCGATAGCAAATCAGTCGGGTTTCGATCGGATGTCTAGTCACACTGATGAGCTGTGAAACAGCGAAACAATCCGTCTGTGAATGACAATATATATACATACTCCTAAAAAAAATTTCGGTTGAGCTCTTTGGGGAGAAATGTGAATTTGTAAACAGTGACTATTACTGCTGCTGATACAAGACTCTTCGTGAAGGTGAATCGAGTTCTCCGGTCACTGGCGTGTTTGTCTAAAAATAAATATGTCTAAATTCACCTTCATCCCTGTCGTGCGCCAATAGCTTAGGGGTAAAATCTCCGAGTGATAGCAAATCGATCCGATTTCGATCCCTGCTTGAGGCAATCGGATGTCTGGCCACACTGATGAGCTGTGAAACAGCAAAGCAGTCTGTTTGTAAATGATTATATATATATATATATATATATATATATGGGCCTGACAATTGCGTCTAGCATGAAACAGCCTGTTGTCTCTAAGTATTGACTTCAATGTTCACTTTTACATTTATATTTACATACGCTCTATCTCTGATATTGAGCACTTTATCCCATAAATATAACACATATTAAAACTATATTTCTTTGTATATATATATTTCTTTCTTTTATATATATATATATATATATATATATATATATATATATATATATATAAAGAAATATAGTTTTAATATGTGCTATATTTATGGGATAAAGTGCTCAATACAACGTCTAAAAACAAAATATCCAGCCGGGCTAAACCATAAATTTAACAATATATAGATAGTATCAATATATAACTCAACAAATCAAAACCTACCCACACTTCTCACCCACACAAGACAGACATGCTTACGGAGATGTGGAGGCCTCATACTTATACACTCACCCACACACTTACACACATCATACTCACTCACTCCTAATGAGCCAAATGATAACACACACCCACAGCAATACACACGCTTACACATATCATACTCACTCACTCCCTAAGAACCAAATAACACACACACAAACACTAAACAAAGACGCATCCCCTCACCAGGTCCAATAAAACTGTCAAACTGACCAGAGAATTCAGAACAACATGTATCTATCCAGCTCTTATATCAAATAACAACTTAAAAGAGAATGTTTGACCAACACAAGGATTGTTAAAAGATTCATGTTAAAAAGATAAAATAAAAAAAACAAAAAAACAAATGAAAACTACAGACAAAAGTTCATTTTCTCCATCAAGACATTCATTTCTGTAGTTTACTGCTACCAGCAAGCAGAAATATTTCTCCTCCCGATGATGGCCATTTTGGTCGAAACTAGTCGAGGAATCTAAATGAAATAATAATAAAAAAAAACCAAAAACGAAAGAATATTAATCTACAACCCAGTGTGTCTAAAGGTTTTAATTTTTTTTTAATATTTTTTTTATTGTTCAATATATATATATATATATATATATATATATATATATATATGTAGAAATTTTGAAAAACAAACAAAAATCCATAAATGTAGTTAAAATGAAAGAATTGTCGACGTCAGACGTTTCGGTTTTAATAAACCATTTTCAAGACAAAATTCATTAAAATACAAATTCAGTTCAATATGACGAAAACGATGGACATAAAAACACAAGTCTTATCCAAGAGTAAAACAGATAACTGAAAATTTTTTAAAAAGATCAGCTTTCCGTTTAACGTGGTCACGCCGTAGTCACATGGGCGACGCTTTTATAACGTATTCCTAAAAGTTCGTGATTATATTAAAATTCCTGTATTTCCGGATAAGCCTGCAATCTTCCATGTTGTAAAAAACGAATTTAGGTTTGTGTTTTCAGTAGACAGTATATAAGCAAGTGTAAATGGATATAAATCCGACAGAATGTAGAAATTTTGAAAAACAAACAAAAATCCATAAATGTAGTTAAAATGAAAGAATTGTCGACGTCAGACGTTTCGGTTTTAATAAACCATTTTCAAACAAAATTCATTAAAATACAAATTTTCAATATTGAAAACGATGGACATAAAAACCGAAACGTCTTATCGAGTCCATCGTTTTCGTCATTTTAACTACATTTATGGATTTTTTTGTTTGTTTTTCAAAATTTCTACATTCTGTCGGATTTATATCCATTTACATTGTTTTCAATATATATATATATATATATATATATATATATATATATATATATATATATATATATATACTACTAGTGGAGATATCCGGCGTTTTTTGGCAGATTTCTATTTATTATTGTATTTTTCAGCCATCTTAGGCAATGTTTTTTTTTTTTTATTCAATCTTTAAAAAACAAATGTCATTGCTTTTAGATTTGTTACAAAATAACTAAATTTAGAAAAGTTCAGCACTATTAGTACCACACTGACGGTGGGGGTCTTAGGTGGATGACTATCCCCATATTTTTTATTAAAAAAAGTCATTTTATTTTTCGATTTAAATACTAACGTAAATCCTCTGTTATTGTTGTTTTCAAACAAATCAGATTTAGATAAAAGTTCATTAACTATTTTTTTTCAAATTATTATTAATAAAAATAAATAAACTTAAATTAAGATATATTTAAACATTGAATTTAATCATTTTTTCAAGCAAAAACTATAGCGAGCCATACTTCTTCGTAAAAAAAATATTTGCTATTTATTTCGGAGGGGAATTTAGATTTTTTGAAATAAATAAAGTTTTACTATTAAACATCACATTTCTCTGTAAATTAATTTAATTATTAACTATTTTGAAAAGAGTAGAAGCAAGCAAGTTACATTGAGAAATTAGTTTTGAAAAGCGAGTTTTTAAATTTAAAGAAAAGAAAAAAAACTTTAGTTAAATAAAAATTAGGAGAGACAGACATGACTTACGGCCAACATTAGTCGTGTTGAATATTTGTTTTAAAAATTTAACTATATTTTATGTGAATTAATTTTAAAAATAAGCTTCGCGATATTTTTTGCTTTAATAAAACTTAATCTAAAATTATTTACATTTTTATGTTAGTTACAAACCAAAAAACAATGAAATTTATTTTCTAAAATTTGAATAAAAAATTGTTTTCCAAGAAATGGCCGAAATATATTACTAATTCTTTAACACACAGAGACAGACAAACAAACAGACAGACACACACACACACAGAGACAACACACGGACAGACAAACAGACAGACAGACACACACACACACACACAGACAACACACGGACAGACAAACAGACAGACAGACACACACACAGACAACACACGGACAGACAAACAGACAGACAGACACACACACACACACACAGACAACACACGGACAGACAAACAGACAGACAGACACACACACAGACAACACACGGACAGACAAACAGACAGACAGACACACACACACACACACAAACAAACAATTGCCCTTCAGGATGATAGTGAATGTATAAAAGGGGTCCGTTAAAGCTGATCATCCAATGGGAAGATATTATTTTTGTGTTATAAAACCACTATAGTAACTACCAGTAGTTATAATCATAATGTAAATGCTATAAACATGTATATATGGCATAAATAAATATATACTTCATATAGATATATTAAGCAAAATAACAAAAATAATAGATTTCTCACGGTTAGTTTCTCACGCACACGCTAATGTATCGCACTTTCCGTCTTTGTTTACAATTGAAAGGACAGGCATCGCCATCTAGCGGTTACTTTGAGAACTAATATTGCACGTTTCGCTAAGCTCACAATTTTTTTGAATAAGTGTCATCTCGAACGAGCACAGAAGGTAATTCCCCCTCCCACCACCAAACATAGTCAAACAAGCATAAACAGATCCCATTTTAAAAAATAAACCAGTTTGTCGGGTGATCGCAAATGCATGAAACCAAGGGTCACAAACACATATCCATACAACTTCTTCCGGTGTACATATACCCGATTTCCCCGCTTCGAACTGAGGCTCAATTGAGCGACTTGCATATAACCCCGTCATCGGTTCTGGGCATCCTGTCTAAATTAGACCCCCATAAGGCTAGTGGTGGAGATGGGATACCAGCCATTGTCCTGAAGAAATGTGCGCCTGAACTGGCCCCTGCCCTGTCCAAATTATATAACTACTGCCTCAATGAATCTTGTTTTCCACCCTGTTGGAAGTGCTCATCCGTTGTTCCTGTCTTCAAGAACTCTGGAGACCATTCTGACCCTTCTAATTACCGTCCTATCAGTCTCTGAAGCTTTAATCAACGCCGAAGTGGTTATGCACCTTAAATCCCATAATCTACTCTCCGACAAGCAATATGGTTTCCGCTTTGCCCGTTCTAGAGCTGATAGGCTTACGACCATAACTGAAATTGTTTGCCAAGCACTTCATAATAACGGAGAAGCTCGTGCCGTGGCTCTTGATATCTCCAAAGCGTTTGATAGGTTTTGACATGCCGGCCTTCCTAGCAAGCTTCAGGGTTATGGAAGGTCGATTGTTCGACTTAATACAATCATTCCTCTCGAACCGTATATTGAAGGTCGTTCTCAACGGATTCTCCTCCAGCTTCTATCTCACGAACGCAGGTGTTCCCCAAGGCTCCATTCTAGGCCCCACTCTCTTCCTAA